TATTTTGATTATTAAAACTATACCTGTTTTCAAAAATAAAATACTCGAGAATGACTAAGAAGGAGTGCGGAAACTTTAAACAACTATCATCCCAAACGTCAAATCCTGGAATGTAAATAGTAAATAATAATTAAAACCTTAAGTTTTTGAGCTGAGAATATGATTAGTTTTTGACATAGAAATATAATAATAGGAGCTGAGAGGATAAATAATTCCAGTCTACAAGAATGAGCATAAAAAATATAAATTTGGAATTTGAGTTGTAGACACGTTAGGTTACTATGAGGCTGGAGAGATGAAAAATGAGCAAACGCCTTCATCGGGAATCGAACCACGGATCTCTGGGATACCAGCCCAGCATGCAGAACCACTACACCACGAAGGCACGCTAGGAAAGTGGGAGAAATACCTTATATACTCCCCTTTTTAAAGGGCGACTGAGGTTTTTAGGGGCACCAATCGCCAAATCCTGGGCGTGGAAAAACCTCATCCAACACCCTTTTAGTTCGGGCGCCACTGTAGAAAAATTAGGTTATTTTGAGGCCGGAGAGATGAAAAATGAGCAAAACGCCTTTGCCGGGGAATCGAACCACGGGTCTCTGGAATACCGGCCCAGCGTGCAGAACCACTACACCACGAAGGCACTCTAGGAAAAGGAGAGAAATACCTTATAGAATTATAACAGAAATACAGGCATTTATAGAAAACCATTTTTAAAAGGTATTTAAGCATGTTTTAAGAAAGTTTTAAAAGGTTGTCCTCGCTTTGTATGCCCTTCGAAGAACTGCATGTGATCCAAGGTATAAGAAGAATTTTTATAGTGTTTCTTTAACATATGCAGGACAGTTAAAATATAAAACATTTTGCGAACCGCACCTATGGACTACATAGTTATTTAGCAATATTCAAGTTAACGTAGAAAAATTGTGAGTCAGTCTTGAACCGCATCATTCTTATAACTTTCGCTGAAATAGTTCTCTATGATATGAGCGATTCACATTAACAAACTGTCTGAATTCTTTTAGATGTGCCAAATATGGCCCTCAGGATGAAATTCGGTTTGAAACAAAATCACCACTTCTGCGGACATCTGTTCGTGCTTCCCAAGCCTCAGGCCAAATGCTCCAATTAGAAATATGAATAAAATGAATTAGGTTTTTTAGGCTGATAGAATACTAACTACAGACGTTTTAGGCAAATAAATTGGTTCTTTAACAAATAAAACTGTCCACGAAAAGAATTTGTTCAAACCATGTGATTAAATTTATTAGTTTTCTTATATAAATTTTACTTCGATAAAAGTATGTGATTTTATTGGGCCGTATTTTTTACCTGATTATTAAAAGAAAAAATAACGATTTTAGAAATTGTGTGAAAACTGAATTTCCTTACACAAATAAGGATTCGAAAATTGACATTTTTTTTTCCCAATCGCAGATTGTTAACAATAACAAGTGTAACCCAGTCCATTAATCCATACAAGGCCGGATGTGGTGGCCTCTTTATTATGGAGGCAACTAATAGGTGGGCCACCATCGCCTTTTCTATGAAGGGACGGATAGTTACAAGCATACCTTCTCCTGGATTCGAACCCAGGCCCTTCGGCATCCCAGTTAGTTTCCCTGACCACCATACCGACTGGGCGGCAAATTGACTTGACATAAAAGATGTAATTTAGGAATTCCCAGTCGAAAGCTTAATATGGGCAGATGACTTTAGCTATCGTTTCATGCATTTTAAGAATTCTAATTTAATGACATGTGGGGGATATCTTGGCCATTGAGAATGAACTATTTTGCTTTTGACGCATTTGAGTATGGAAAGCATTTTTCATTACGTCTTCCCTAAGGAAATGGTATGGAACTTTATTTTTCTCAAATATCATCAAAACGCACCACATGACTATAACTATCGCAGTCTGAAATCTATTTTAATTCATTAATTTCTTAAATTTTAATCATGGATCTACCCCCAACTGTTCAAGAGCTATTTGCTCGTGCAATCGTTTTGAAAGATTATGTATGTTAGAAGATAGTAACGGGCGCACATGATTCTTTAAGGGATTTAATTGATAGATTGTTGTATCGTTTAACTCTATGCTTATGTGAATATTGTAATTTCTATATAGTAATGGCTTGAAATAAGGAATAACAAAAAGACTCAAAGTCTTCCAGAGGATATGGGTACAGCAGGTGATATATAACTTCATAAATTAACTTCGTCAGTACGTGCTATCTTGTTGAGTCCTACGAAAGGCACAGTTTTTAACCCTTGGACAGGCCCGGGTTTTTGATAATAAAGCACAAATTTCCCAGAACTACTATGAAAAATAATTATTTTATTGATTTTTAATGCCCAAAGGCCCCTGAAATTTTAAACCTGGATTTATGTAATTTTAATACATTGCTTTAAATTCTTGGACATATTTTAGGATGTACTTACATATACGTTTCTTCAGACAATCACAAAAATATTCTAGGCCGTATATCTCTCTCTATATATACAGTACAACGTCCGTAATCCGGACTCGTAGGAACTTCGACGACTCCGGATTAGGGGTTTTCCGGTTTATAGATCATCAATTTAAATCTGGCAAGATGGCATACAGAAATTATACAATTAAAAACATGAAACCGTAATTTATGAAATAAAGAACAATTATGATCTAAAGGGTATCAAATTTTACAAAAAAAAAAACTTAATATTTATTTGTTTTTAAATTTTCTTTCAACGCGCGCATGCGTAAAGCACACATTATGCGCATGCGTAATGTATGCACATTCTCTACGCGCATGCGTAAAGTTTGTGGCTTTGAGGTCCGGATTACAGATCATTCCGGATAATGGACGTCCGAATTACAGACTTTGTGCTGTATATGGTCAGAGGGTTTTAATTACTCTTCACTTCCCTTTAGAAAGGTCATTATTTTAAACTTTTGTACAATATGTTCGAAATAGGTTACAGAACAATATGTTAATTTGCTTAAATCGTAATCATTAACATTTATTTTCTCTTCTAAACTTTCTTAAAATTAAATATAAAATTTTATCAAAGCAATTTCGAAGCTGTGATTAGGTGAATTATTCTGAAAAATAAAATCTATGTTTTTGTATGCTTCCCATAGAGCAAAATACCCAGCTAATAAAACTGCTTATAAAACCTCTTATGCTTCCAATTAATTATTAAGTAATGTTCTATTATATATTGGAAAAAATATAAGCGTTTTGAGGAGATCATTTAGAAATCAATATGAAATGAGAGCAAGACATCCAAAAAGCGTCCTTGACTCGCCAGAAATTTTGCAAGAAATTTCCTTTACTCTCAGGCGGCCGAGCGGTAAAGTCGCTGAACACTGGTAGTTCGGTCCGAGGTTCGAATCCCGCGAACGGGCTGGCTGCATGGGTGTTTTCGTGGTTTTCCCCATGTGTAACGTGTATACGAGCCAGTTTCCCTTAGAAAGTCCTCCACGAAAGGCATCCCTCCCCTTAGGCAGATAGCCCTAGTGTGCTTTGCCGTAATTAAATACACACACACACCACCTTTACTCTCAGAAGAGCTAAATTCAGTAGCAATTTTGGGGATTATCTGAACCCATAACATAATCACCTCAACAAATTATAGCTGAACTCACTATTTATGTATACTAAAACTATATTATTATAGATTTCAAACAATGAGAGGATAAAGATGATAACTTCTTTCTCACTGTTTAATAGTAAATTCTTCGCCAAAATTGAACATTTGTACTAAAACTATATTATTGCAACGTTAAAACAATATAAAATAAGACATACCCCCCCCCCCAAAAAAAGTGGTTTAATCGCCCAGTAGATGATTTGTTAAGAGTTTTAATGTTCTCTCCATGCTCGCACTCTGCTCTTGGACGTTTTTGTATTTTTAACTTTATTATTGAACATTAACTCAACAGCAAAATGCAAAATTTTTAAAACCAGCATATGTTTATGATTCCCGATACAGTTTTAAGTGTTGCCATTAACGTTTTTCAGTTTTCCTCATTTCATCATATCAGAGTTCAGTTTTCTTAGTAAGATGATTTACGCAACTTTCTTTATCTTTTTATTAACAACTTTTCGTCTTTTCAAATTTATATATTAAACTTAACTTTTTCACGCTTACGTAACACAAAGTGTAATAACAAAATATTTAATATATTTAAACACAGCATATGTTTAAAATTTCTAATAGAGGATTAAGTGTTGCCATAAATTTTTCATATTTGTTATAATATTATTTCAAAAATAATACATGGCGATAACAGTTAAGGGCAACATCTTTGTATTTGTGTTGCCATACATTTTTATAATCAGTAATTATTTCTTTAAAAATAATACATGGTAATAAATTCTGAGGATTGAGAATAATAGCACCTACGATAATAACTATAGGCTGGGAATTTGTCATTACGTTTGTGTGAATCTTTAACTTAACCCAGCTATCAAGTATAGTAAAACTATATTATTAAAAATTTCAAACACAAGCAGGATAAAAATAGAAACCTTTTCTAACTATCTTCGAATAAAATTTCAGCTAAACCTAAAAACTAAGCACATTAAAAATATTGAAAAATTCACACAATGAGAAAGTAAAAATTGAAATTAACTTCCGCCTAAATTTGAATAAATTCTTAGCTAACCTCAAACACATAGTACACTAAAACTAGCTATATATAAAGTATTTTCTGTATATTTTCAAATACTGAACAAATCAACATGCATAAAAATAAAATGGCAGCGATTTGCTCATTAGATTTGAAATAAATATTTATTTGAATTCAAATGCGAGACTATATTATTGCAGATCTCAGACGTAGAGAATATAAAATTTACAATCATTTTACTTACATTTAAATAACTTTCTGTAAAATTTAGTTCTTTATAGTATAAAACTTAATTAGATCATTATTTGTTCCAAAACTTAGTTTATACTACTTGAATTGCACACAAATCTTGCATAAAACAAAATAAAACAACATTACTTACGTTTCACAAGTCCTTTTCATGTGTCCTGAAAGAAAATAAAAGAAGAAAATATAACTTTTTTATAATGAAAAGCATATAATTTGGAAATCAAATTTCGCCTCAATTAATAATTCTAAAATTACAGTGGGTTGCATAAGAAAGTTTTTACCTTACAGCGATTTATTTATTAAAAGAACGATGTTATTTGCTTTCCGAATAAAATACGTTGCTGTTAAAAAGGTTTATTCATTTAATTTAGCAAGAAAATATAAAATGCCGTAATAATGTTACGAGACTTTAATTAGATGTAAAGAGAAATGATGACAGAGCTTGGCAAAAACTGAAAAAGAGAATCTAGAGATGGAAAATCTTGAAGTTAGATTATGCAATTTTATTGCTGGTATGCCTTGAGCTTTTAATTACCAGCTTATAACATATTTAAAAATTACTTTTGGGCAGAAATTTTTATACGTTCCTTGAAAATAATCTTAAAATTTATGTTGAATATAGCGATTGACATCGCAACTAGATCAATGCACTGTTAACTATGTAGAATTATCTTTTGTTAATGAAGTAGCTAGTTTATGATTTACACCTCTACTGTCACTTCTTCCTTTCGTTTCCCTACCAGAATGCAGATTAACGCGCATGTATTTAAGATGAGTTTTTTAAAATTGTAAAACAGAGAGTGTTCTACCTGTTGAGGCCATGTTACTAAGTTGCTGCTAGATCAGATCAGATTTGTAATCTTCGGCCTTGCATTCTAATTGCCGATATTGGATCTACATGCCAGTTATGTTTTGAGCCAATTTCGCGTTAAATTGGTTTGTGTAGCCTTCGGATATTAGCTTATTTTGCATTTAAACGTAGTGTCATTGCAAGTTATGTTGCCATAAGTGCTGGTTGAGCTTGTAAGCACCCGGTGTACCTTCTGTTCTTCCTTAGTTTAAAATAAAGGGTTTTTATACACCCTTCTCAAAGCTTAGTTGTTATTTTACATTTAGCGATTATTCGCTTAACGTCTACTGTTAAATAATTAACTACTGTTAATGACACTGTTAAATGATTGCTAAACATACCAAACTTTGTAACTATTTCTTTTTCCTTTTCGGTTCTGTTTCTCTGGCTTTATGCTATATATCTAAATGAATAAGCAAAAATTAAAAGCTGGGACTAATCTTAAATTTTCGAATCCGAAACTTAAATAAAATTATAACACGTTCTCGAATCTTTGATTTCGAATTTCTCTAAACTTTTATGTTTTAATAATAAGAAGGAAGAATAAAAATAATAAATACATAAATAAAAAAATCCACTTAATATTACAGATTTTTAGCTGAAGCAAAATTTGAAATTTACTTTTAATGAAACGCAAATTTAAGAATACGATTTAAAAAATGCTTATTTATTAGAAACGGACAAAAGAAATTTAGTAAGGAAGTATGCAAATAAAACTTGAATCTTCTGGTTCACTTTTACAACGTTATTGGACAAAAGATATTTGCAAAATAGTTCACATTTTGCTTGTTTGAATCAGACTGTTTCTCAGAATCTTTCTAAATTGAAGCCGGCACAGAGATAGAAATGATCCTTCTCAAGAGTTAGTATAGGTAAACACTAAACATGGAGCATTAAATTCTTTTCAGAAAATTAATAATGTTGCATTCGGCGCCGCCATGCGGTAGCTGGTATCTAAAAAGCACTGCAAATGCAACACTTTTGTATATTGTTCAATGAAAGCTTGCATTTCATATTGTTAAAATTATCCTTTAAAAATTTTGTATTTAAACATAAACGTTTAATTCTGAATGTTAGGTGTTCCGTTTTAGTGTATGTTTTGTTCTGATGTATATTTTCTTTGTTACTGTTAATAGGCTCTGTTTTAGTAAATACTTTAATAGCTAGTCGGCGTTTGTGTTGATAGAAGAACGGTGAATAAACTAAATTTGAAAATGGCGGAAGACAAACGTTAAACCTTTTTGAAATTTAATGCTTGAAAAATTGTACACAAGACTTAATGATGGAGTCATTTAATTTCATTCTTTATATCAAAATTAAAAGTCATTACAGAGAATGTAATTCCATTTACCATGATAACCATATAAAGTTTCTGCTCACAAACATTTTAAAATTAGTGATTCAGATGCTGTGATGATGTTACAGCTGGATGGAGGATTAAACTTCGATGAATTCATTAGCGACTTATTATGTTAAATATGCAATTAGATACTAATAGCCTGTTTAGCATTAAAGATCTATAATCTTTGCTAGAATTTAGAATGCCTATGTCTTCTTTGTGAAAATATTTAAGAAATCGATGTAAATTGATCCGAAAGAAAGTACAATGTAGATTTTATTTTATCATAAGCGCTTACGCCGATTCAGCACTGTTCATTACGTAAGCTACATAGTATATCCATTATATGTGGGAACAGCAAAAACATCCGTGTAATTTCACAAAAATATTTTAGATAATCGCCTAAAAGATGTATTTAAAATGCTTAATTTTTGCCTTTATGACAAAATTCTTCAGTTGATGGATTTATTTCTCCTAACAACAGCAGTTGTGTTGAATTTTTAAACCAGAGTTTCCGAAACTAACGTCTCTCAAACTGTGCTTCATTATTCTAATCTACCACAGTTTAATTCTACATTTTTCTGAAACTTTAAATATTTTTCTTCTGCAACTGAAAAATGTTATATGAAACGAGAGACAAATTCTAAAACAGCTGAGTAAAGACGATTTTCCTTAATGTTCTGAGCAGTGGATTTATCATCACAACCTCTCAAGTTATGTTCTGGGTATGCCTGTGAGTGATGTTTCTTTAACCTATTCATAATTAAGCTTTTAAACGGAAAAATAGGTTAAGTATTAGCATTATTATGAACAAGACTTCGAATCTTCTACATGCATTTTTATGTTTTACTGTATACTGTATGAATATTTACTCTTTAAATTATTTTTCAGAACAAAATCAAAATATGTGGAAGCAAATGCTTTAAACGAATTTTGTACAACATCATGACATTCTAAAACGAGAACAGCAAACATTTTAAGGATTTAATTTCATTAAATCATGGCATGAATACATAGGTGAAAACCACGTTTCTTTTAATGATAGTAAGAGAAAAGATAATTGTGATCTCTCGAGAATTGATAAATGCTGTTGCTAAATTATAATTGTATTGCGTCCAAAAATACAGTTTTTATCAATGGATTTTAATTTGCTTGGGTGTTTGGATTATTTTATCAAATGTCACTGGGCCCGTAATTGTTTGTTACTGTCTTTTTTTGTAATTTTACATGCACATTTTTACAGTAATTTATTAATTGGCAATTAGCTTTAATACCTAAGAGATCTGGTAGTAATCCATTTCCCGTTTATTTTAAATTTTATTGTGTTACATTTCTTATATTTATACAAGTATCAGCTTTCAGCAGGAAAGAAATTTTCCTTTAATTTATATTAAATTTTTTTTTGCACATACAGAAAACATAGACTGGAAATTCGGTTTATTTTCCATTTTTAACGTATAGAAATGAATGCATATTGTCACGGGAGATTACGAGGGATTATTTTTATAATAAAGCTTTAATACTGCTTTACACGGTGCACACAATATGTTCGCTCTTTTCTACTTCCTTGCACGAAGTAAAAGAAGTATAGCAATCGCGAAGTATTTCGGGTATCATATTTGAACGAAATGTCCATTTTGACCGCAATCGAATGCAATTAAACGATGCTTTTTCGTGACATCTGCAGGACAGAATATAGGTCTCTTTTTCCCCCAAACAGATTGCAAAATGCATTAAAAATGTATTCAGAAGAGAATTTCTTTCGTGACGTCTGTACGTAGATACATATGTATTTATATACATATGTCTGTACGTAGATATACATGTCTGTACGTAGATACATATGTCTGTACGTAGATATAATATGTTTATTATACATATGTCTGTACGTAGATACATATGTATTAATCTCGCATAACTTAAAAACGAGTATTCTCAGAGCGTTGAAATTTTGTATATAGGACTACTATAACATTCAGTTGTGCATCTCCCTTTCTGGTTGCAATCGACCGCACCAAGAGTATATACTCCTTCTGTTACTTGGCTTGGGGAGCTCAGGTACTTTTTATTTTTATATGTTGGTAAAATGGGCATTTTTTGGTTTAAAAATGATTGAATTGTATTGTTGTTATGTTTTAGTTAACATGCTTATGCGTTTAATTAACCTGTATGCAGTATTATCAATAATATGTATGCAGTATTATCAATAATTTACAAGTTGTTGAAGCGCTCCTAAGCCTAACTTAGCAACCCTATTTGTTTACATTTGAAACTTAGCAGAATATTGAATTAAATCAGTTTCTGCATCTTTAGTGTTTTGCCGAGTGGGAGCAAAAGTAAACTTTCAGCTTTGAGTATTGAAAAATATGCCTTCTTCCCCGCTGAGTTTCTATTTATTTTTGCATTATCGCGAAGTGATAACTTAAATAATTGAATGAGAAATATATCTCTAACGAAATTCGAGGAAATAAGTTTAAATGAAATGCAGCAAAAATACCTATATTTTAATAGGTCGAACAAGGAAGTCGTGTTGTGAGCAAATGAGACTATTTTATTAAAATATTCGATGAGTTGTGCTGATAGAAGAATTTTATTTACTACTTTCATGGCGTAATTTAAATTGTGTTTAACATTTTGCTTAAAAAATTCGCAAGCTTTAAACACTTTCACTGTTTTTTTCCCCCACATTTTACGTTTGCATTATTTCTATGAATGTTTAAAGATTCTAAAACCTGAAACCATGCCGAACGAAATCTATCCAAAATGAGTCATTTCACTAGTGAACGATTATTTGCTTTTCCGACAAAATGTAACTAATGGCAACTATTTTAAGTAAAGGAAATTTAAAAATCCCTCGTTTTAAAGGCATAGCTGAGGCTAGGGTTAAAAACCGCATCATATCATTAATAATAAAAATAACAAAAAGCGATCCAGAAAGAAAATACGTTTAATTTTTGCATAATAAGAAAAATATGTATAAATTGAATAATCATTCTTGCAAACCATTACTTTTCCAGTTAGCAAACTATAATAGCATATAGTGAAAAATGTGATGTGTACACCCCATGACTTCCTTGTACGAAGTATTCAATCATACGCATTTTTTATTGTATTTCATTTAAACTTATTGGATTGAATTGAATTTACTTCATCGATACCGCATAAACCACAATAGAATAAATGCATTCTTTGAAATTCACTATATTTGTTTACCATAGCGACACTCTGGCCGTAGAGTCACTTAACAGTGTTTCATTTCATTCATTTTTTTAACTCAGAATGCACAAATTTTATATCATCTTAAGAACTATCTAATCGTTGCCACATGTTCTATTCAAATACTATAATAAATCTAAAACAATGTATAAAAGAAATTAAGCAAACAACAGCAACAAGAATAAAAAATAGTTTTTCACAGACAATTCAGTATTTCTCATTCAATTAACTCAGTTTTGACTTCGCGACAAGGCAAAAGTACATAAAAACTCAAAATATCTGTATTGAAAATTATGAAGTAAATCTTAAACACTTATTTCCTCGAATCATTTCCAGAATGGATTAATGATTTAATTCGCAATAATAAAAGAAGGCGCTATCTTTGTTGTTGCGAAGCTTACTTTCTCTAGATTGGTAAAAATCTACCATTCTGCTGTTTCAAATATAAACAAACATGGTCGTCATGCAAAAATAATTAGGCTTAGCGAGACTTAAACATTTTTTAAATTGTTGATAATTCCACAAATACTGTATGCAGATTTACTAAAGGCATAAAAACCTTAACCGGAAGATAAGACCAACATAATTCAATCATTTTTAAAGCAAAAATTGCACAAGTTACAAACATATAAGAATGAAGAAACTGAGTTCACTGAGCCGAGTAACAGAGTGGAAAATATATATACATATACACTGCTCAACAATGAAAATGCAACACCAAGAAGGAGTGGTCAGTAAGTGATGAAATTTGGAAAAAAGACAGAAACAGCAAGCAGTAATAAGTGATATTTATTTCAAAATCATAGTCAGAATACTGAGCGAGAACGGCATCGGCTCAGTAGGATGTA